AGCCAAGACTTTTTCAAAATACAGCTTGCTTTCAGGTCCATTCAGTCTGCATTTCAATTCAGCTTAAGACAATTTTGAGATCAGGCAAAGTTCTTTTATGGGCTAATTTGACCTACAGTGATCCTTCTGATCTCCATTTGGCCTCCTAAGCTGCATCAACCTGCTGTAAGTTGCCTTTGCATTCCCATTATTTTGTATGTGGAGATTTTGTTCACATTTGATTCAAACTTCCTATCAACACAGATCTTTAGAGAAAAACTTACTTCATTACTCTGTGACTGGGTAAGGTAAGAATTAGTGTGAAGCAGCAAAGAAAAAAAATGAAACTGCCGGTGAAGCTGCAAAGATCCACAGCTGAGAGGAGAGAAATCTTCTATTGGACACTTAGTACCTAGATACACTGGAAATCTGGACTTTGTGGGATAAAGGTGGGACAAAAGCCATTTCATAATATGCCTGTAACAGATCTCATTCAAATAAGCCTAAAGGGATGCAGCAAATACTGTATATGAAAAAGGGTCTCAGGTTTGCTGAGACCCAAGATTTAACGTTTGGGTATAATAGCTGAAAGCTACTGTATGAGTGGCAACCAACACTGCTCATAACCTTGAGAATTTGGATTGAGAATCTGGTTAGTATTGAGGGCAAAATGGAAAGTGTCAAACATAGGACAATCCAAGAGGATAATCTGAAACTATAAGGGGCCACACCATACCTTTACTATGGCAGTTCACTCCACCTGAAATACTGATGAAGGCCCTGAAGTTTCTGTACAGATAATGGCTTCTATATATGGCCGGGTCTGGTTCACTTTAACGCTGTATTACAGTATTTTTATGTGAGATGGGTACTTATGCTATGCATTAGCACTATTCTACTCTTCATATTGTAACCACACTTATGCTAATTGCCCTTTACTGTTGACAATGGCACTTTAACTTGTGTAAAGCCTATTGAAATTGATGCAAAGTATTTCACTGATCTGTCACTGCTGACCTAGCTAGTTCTGAACTACTATATGTACATTTCACCCTGACACAATTCCTTACTGGCATTTCTTTCACTTTGCTTTTTGAAACACATTGAGGGCTGATTCATTAAAACTGATTAAATCAGAACATAAGTAGGATTACTGCTAGCAAGCAAGCAAATCAGATTTTTTGCTTAATCTTTTCCAATAAAAAGGTGAAACCTGACTGATATTGGCAAAAAGTATTTTATTTTAATTTTCTTTCTTCAGTTTGAATTAACCAGCCCCATGTCCAAGATCCATGAATTTCCCAGCTCATTGGAGGTGCACGAGAGGCTTCCCTCCATGCTTCTGTTGCTAATGATGGTATAGTATGTGAATGTTATGGTACTCAGAGTCCCTGACAGGTTTTTTCAGACCTTCATTAAGAATCTCAGTCAGAACTTCCAGAAGACCCGCCAGCACCTCTAATGGAAGTCACAGGAGACCTGCCATTAATTGTAATGGCCCTCATAAAAAATCCAGGCCAGTAAGACCAATAATAGTCATAGAATCTGGACCAGAACATCCAGGGTGCCCTGAAGGGAGCTGGTGCTGTGTAATCAAGCCAGCTTTATGTGTGTACAAGAGCTATAATACTGTTGTTTGCTTTCTGTTGCTGACCTGGACCGTCTGACCCCTCTGCGATTGCTGCCTGCCCTGATCTTCTGTCTGAACCTGATTATGTTCCTGTTTCCTGCCTTACCGACTGATTACTCACTGCCGACCTGGACCGTCTTACTACTCTTTCTTAGACGCCTGCCTCGACCCTTGTCTGCATCCGACTACGCTCTTTTCGCCTGACTTTGTTTCCTACCTACTGGCTGCTGACTCGGACCATCCAACCATTCTCTGGCTCTCATGTTAGGATCTCTTCATTTTCCTGACCCCGCTCTAGATTACTGTCTCCTTATTGGAGCCCTGTTGTCCTGCTCATCCCTTTGTAGGGCAAACCTGGGGGCCGCGACCTGGCACCAGCAAGCAGTGAAACCCATCTCCACCATCAGAACTCTGGTGAAAGCTTGACATCTTGGTGTCTATTTACCCGACGTGACCCCGTCTTTTATATTTTACCAAAAAATTAATGAACAGTGTATTGCATGCAAAGGCAGAGCTGCTGTTAACTGATCGTGTACAAATAAATAACAGGGAGTGGGGAGAGCTGTTTAAAGTCTACTTTATATCCGACCCCGGTACCAGACTGAGTTTCCTGTGGAGAACATTTTGAATTTCTATGATTCAGGCCTAATAAAAACGTAATAAAAAAATGAAGAAAACCTGCAATGTAAGTCATGAAAATGTGCACACATATACATCATCACTGCACCTCTACATTACTACAACATGGTAATCACTTACAAAGGTGGAAATGGACTTTAAAGTCCCCTGGACGAGAAATGATTCTGGTTCTTTGATTTGGTAAGTTAGCTAGTTTATGTAGCCATCCCGACTTCAGAATACACATGGCAAACATTTCAAAGGTTTTACATGCCGTCCAAAATCCTCACCGCTCCAATTCTGCGGTCAGTACCCACTATGTTGAACCCGCAGGTGCAGGCTGAAACAGTGTGTGTTCACCATAAATGTATGAAGTCCAAAGAATAGCTGCACTCCACAGGTGTCAGCAAGTCCAGTCTTTAATGTAATCCAGACTCATGTATACATCACTAACTACCTCCCCAGATCCAGCAGAATCCTCTCATGCATTTCACCAATATGGCTTACTCATAGAGCTCTATGAGCAAGTCGCATTGGTGAAATGCGTGAGAGGGTTCTGCTGGATCTGGGGAGCCTGTTTGCCGACATCTGCGGAGTGCGGCTATTTCTTTGCCAAACGTTTTTGTGTAAACTCGGGTTGAATTTATACTGTTCCATGTGCATGCAGTGTGCATAGTAATGCACATATGTAGGTGTGAATGGTCTTATAGAGTTCCCCTTTGGGCCTTTTCACGCCAAGCCTGTAATTAAACGAATGGTTCCGTGCAACGCACCTACTGTGCGTTACAGTGCGGCAGGTGCTTTGCATTGCCATTCATTTGAATGGCACCTCAAACACGCCTCCTGGCCCCATGGCCCCACGTTACCATGCGTTGCGGTTGAAAAAAGTAGTGCATGCACTATATCAACCTTTCAAGACAGGTGCAAATATGACTGTTCGCTGTGAAAAAAATCCATACTGGCATTTATACACCAGACTTTCTGTAGGTCAATAATGAACCTGTAGTCTGTGTTCCAGTATCATGCGTGTATCAAGGTAACTAACACAATGGATTAGAGTGAACTAGTGCAGTACAGCGATGGCTAAATGAAAAACTCCAGTATTGAGCAGGTAGCCTGTGCTCCCTATATGCACCGCAAGGTTTCATTTTCAGTTTTAATTGGAAATCACCTTTCATTAAAGTTCTGCTTTTTAAAATGCCCATACTGCCCCCTAATATTGCACTTACAATGCTTTCCACCCAGCAGAAACAGAGCTCATGTAGGTAACCTTTCAAGTGATTTTTCTAGTAGTTAGAGAAGCATTGTTAGAAAAGCCCTTCATAGAATCCAGGCTATTTTTAGCAAATGTCTAATCCCTCATGTGACAGATTAATTCTGATTTCTGTGATTATTACCCAAGTTTGGGAAAGTCCAGGCCTGCCTCATGCCCCACCGACCTAAATGTATGTAACAGCTGTTTAAGCAGCAGACTGTGTGTGACACCAGAAGGGGCAAACTGTTCATAAGGCAGCATTAAAAAATAGAGAGATGTAGGATAAAATCTCCTTTATGTCACATTACCCTAGGACAGGGGTATCAATGTGCAGTATAGTTTGAATCATGACATGCAATGCTTATTTCTGTATTAGATTATCACAGTAAAGGTGCCCATACACCTTACGATTATCGTATGCGATCGACTTTTCGGCCGATAACCGTATGTGTGCATTGCAGTGTCCGACCGACAGTACTGTACAATCGTACGACATTTGACGGTCAAGCATGTTTGAAAACTTCGTCAAAAGTCGTACGATCTACACTGCGCTTGCGCTAACGAAAATACGGCAAATCAATTACCGCATTTCGTCCAGGTGCTTTTCTTTAATTACGGCTAAATTAATCTTGGATGGGGCTGCCGTACGAAAATCGTACGACTATTCGATCATCGGACGAAAAGTTTCGTCCGATAATCGTAAGGTGTATGGGCACCTTTTAGAGATGGTCTTTCTCCATTACAAAATGTTCAATGTATAGAAAAATATTTTCCAACTGGTCTCCACTGTAAAGTGACATTAAAGTAAAAAAATGTTTTCCCTCCCCCCAATGTTAATGTCAGCACTTACCTTAAATGATGTTTCTTAATCCGATCTTCTTCTTCTTTCCTGATGTTTTCATCTGTCCCACCAGCGGTGCGGCGGCTCTCCGATCCAGCGCTGACTCCTCTCTGCTTGCAGGCACTTCCGATCCAGCGGTGTCTTCATGCGGGTGCACGCGTCCATAGACTTACCTTGCATCTGTGCTCATCTCCTGGCCGAAAATCCAAATTGCGCATGCGCCCGCCCCAAGATGCTTTGCGGCCGCCCGAGCAGTTTTGGATTCTCGGGCGGGAGCGCGCAACGAAAACAGAGTAAGTTTAAACCGCTTTTAAGGCGTTTAAAACAAAAAAACCTTTTGCCTATATATTTGCTAGCAGTAGCTATAGGCAAAAAAAACAGAGGGTTTAGAACCCCTTTAAGATGATGTAGATATTTGTAGCTGATGGCTGACGCTTGTCATAATTCTCAATTCAATAGAAAAGATAGAACAGACGTGCAAGAATATCAGGCATCACCCCCAACTAAGAAATGTAACTGTACAGTTTGAATTGTTGTGATAATATTCATGGAATGTTCTTCCCCTGAATGCTGATCGTACATTCCTTAAGATAATAACATAAAACACAAGCACTGCTTGCCATGTTAAAACGTTTCCTTTTTTTAAAAAAATTGGAAGGAATGTCAGCCAGGCTTACCTTGTCTCAGACGCGTGGGCTGGATGATTGCAACTCCATCAATAGAACAAGGGTTTCCACATGGATAAAGGGTGAGTGTGCCACATTTATTCTCAATGTAGCAATGTGTAGCAGCAATACCAGGGCCCTGTATAGTAATGTCCTTGGATGAATGGCCTAAGGTGGTCCTCCCTGTGGTAAAAGACAAATGGTGAGAATACAGAAAAGCACAAATAATCTGTGTTTGGTAATGTTCCTACACACATTTTGAATTGTTACTCCAGTGGTCACTAATCTACACTAATTGGATTTAAACTGTATCTCTAGCCAAGACTTTTTCAAAATACAGCTTGCTTTCAGGTCCATTCAGTCTGCATTTCAATTCAGCTTAAGACAATTTTGAGATCAGGCAAAGTTCTTTTATGGGCTAATTTGACCTACAGTGATCCTTCTGATCTCCATTTGGCCTCCTAAGCTGCATCAACCTGCTGTAAGTTGCCTTTGCATTCCCATTATTTTGTATGTGGAGATTTTGTTCACATTTGATTCAAACTTCCTATCAACACAGATCTTTAGAGAAAAACTTACTTCATTACTCTGTGACTGGGTAAGGTAAGAATTAGTGTGAAGCAGCAAAGAAAAAAAATGAAACTGCCGGTGAAGCTGCAAAGATCCACAGCTGAGAGGAGAGAAATCTTCTATTGGACACTTAGTACCTAGATACACTGGAAATCTGGACTTTGTGGGATAAAGGTGGGACAAAAGCCATTTCATAATATGCCTGTAACAGATCTCATTCAAATAAGCCTAAAGGGATGCAGCAAATACTGTATATGAAAAAGGGTCTCAGGTTTGCTGAGACCCAAGATTTAACGTTTGGGTATAATAGCTGAAAGCTACTGTATGAGTGGCAACCAACACTGCTCATAACCTTGAGAATTTGGATTGAGAATCTGGTTAGTATTGAGGGCAAAATGGAAAGTGTCAAACATAGGACAATCCAAGAGGATAATCTGAAACTATAAGGGGCCACACCATACCTTTACTATGGCAGTTCACTCCACCTGAAATACTGATGAAGGCCCTGAAGTTTCTGTACAGATAATGGCTTCTATATATGGCCGGGTCTGGTTCACTTTAACGCTGTATTACAGTATTTTTATGTGAGATGGGTACTTATGCTATGCATTAGCACTATTCTACTCTTCATATTGTAACCACACTTATGCTAATTGCCCTTTACTGTTGACAATGGCACTTTAACTTGTGTAAAGCCTATTGAAATTGATGCAAAGTATTTCACTGATCTGTCACTGCTGACCTAGCTAGTTCTGAACTACTATATGTACATTTCACCCTGACACAATTCCTTACTGGCATTTCTTTCACTTTGCTTTTTGAAACACATTGAGGGCTGATTCATTAAAACTGATTAAATCAGAACATAAGTAGGATTACTGCTAGCAAGCAAGCAAATCAGATTTTTTGCTTAATCTTTTCCAATAAAAAGGTGAAACCTGACTGATATTGGCAAAAAGTATTTTATTTTAATTTTCTTTCTTCAGTTTGAATTAACCAGCCCCATGTCCAAGATCCATGAATTTCCCAGCTCATTGGAGGTGCACGAGAGGCTTCCCTCCATGCTTCTGTTGCTAATGATGGTATAGTATGTGAATGTTATGGTACTCAGAGTCCCTGACAGGTTTTTTCAGACCTTCATTAAGAATCTCAGTCAGAACTTCCAGAAGACCCGCCAGCACCTCTAATGGAAGTCACAGGAGACCTGCCATTAATTGTAATGGCCCTCATAAAAAATCCAGGCCAGTAAGACCAATAATAGTCATAGAATCTGGACCAGAACATCCAGGGTGCCCTGAAGGGAGCTGGTGCTGTGTAATCAAGCCAGCTTTATGTGTGTACAAGAGCTATAATACTGTTGTTTGCTTTCTGTTGCTGACCTGGACCGTCTGACCCCTCTGCGATTGCTGCCTGCCCTGATCTTCTGTCTGAACCTGATTATGTTCCTGTTTCCTGCCTTACCGACTGATTACTCACTGCCGACCTGGACCGTCTTACTACTCTTTCTTAGACGCCTGCCTCGACCCTTGTCTGCATCCGACTACGCTCTTTTCGCCTGACTTTGTTTCCTACCTACTGGCTGCTGACTCGGACCATCCAACCATTCTCTGGCTCTCATGTTAGGATCTCTTCATTTTCCTGACCCCGCTCTAGATTACTGTCTCCTTATTGGAGCCCTGTTGTCCTGCTCATCCCTTTGTAGGGCAAACCTGGGGGCCGCGACCTGGCACCAGCAAGCAGTGAAACCCATCTCCACCATCAGAACTCTGGTGAAAGCTTGACATCTTGGTGTCTATTTACCCGACGTGACCCCGTCTTTTATATTTTACCAAAAAATTGGGTGCTGATAAAAGTTTTATAACATAACGTAGGGAAAACAGGTTTTTTTCAAAGTTTGCAGAACTTTTCTCATTATATGGTAAAAAATAAAAACCCCAGTGGTGATTAAAAGCCAGCAAAAGAAAGCTCTATCGGTCCCTAAAAAAAATGGTATAAAATGAATTTCAGTACAGCGTTGCAACGCGGAATAAAAGTCAGTCAAAGTACCTCCGCGCTGAATACTGAAAAATGGCCTGGCCAGGAAGGGGGTTTAACACCCCGATCAGCAAGTGGTTAAAAAAAAACAGTTGCGTGTGTGTGTGTGTCTGTGAGTGATAACAGATGGGATCCACTTGGTGTTTGTGTTTCAATGAAACCACAGCCTGACTTTTACAGGGAAACATCATTTATGGCTGATACAAGAATGTGTACTACACACCAAAGACAATACACTACACTATGCATCAAGGAGAAAATAATGTAACAGTACTTTATTTAAAGCTTCACTGAGTTAGACCATAGTAATAGGAATCCATAAAATATTCATTCATTCATAAATACCTTCTTCCAATGGCAGTAGAGTGATTGCAGTGCTCAGTCTCCCACTTCCAAGACTCACAAGATGTGGTTTCTCTGTGTGCACCTTCACAATTTTTCCTGTGTCTATAAGATCCAGTGGGGTGCTCTGCTTGTAACACAAAGTGAGATACATTACTATATGATGCACAATGAGAAGACAATTGTAATCACTGGCTAGTGCTAGCAAATTTATACCAACTGGACTTGGAGATTATTTTTACCATAATCCAAATAGTTTATTTCATTCATGTGATTGCAGGTTTCCCAACATTTAACCCCTTATGGATAGTCCAAATCATCACAATCCACTTATTATAATGTTAAGCACATGCACCCTGGACTGCAAAAACAGCTTGGATTTGTGAAGATTTCTTAAGAATAATTAGTAATTTTTATATACTACCTTTATTTAGATATATATTATGTAACCCTGAAAAACTTTTTAGTAGTTTTTGTGCTTCCAAATATATTGTGTAGCAGTGCTGTTAGGAACGATGTGTAGCATAATGAGTAGCAAAAGTTCACAAAAGATATGGCGCTCACTCCATGAGAGAATGGAAACATCTTTTATAATGAATGCTAAAATAGAGAGGGGTGTTTGTTACTTATACTATATTCTTCTCTCTGGAAAATAACTATAGAATAGATACAAATACACGTGCCCCATCACTGCAGACTTCTCTGTTCCTGTGCTCATTATTGGTGCTCAATCACTTAATATAAAAGATCAAACGCTTGGCCCATTTGCCAGGACAGTACCTAAAAACTAAGATTCAAGATCTGCATATTTGTGATGAGCTTTATCATCTTTAAGAACAACGTTTCACATGTTGCATTAAAGTCATATAACAATATAAGTTCTAAAAATGCACACATCTTTTTTATTTCAATGTAATTAAAATGCTCTTGGGATGGTACTGTTTATATAGCAAAGAATAACAAGAGACACATAAAATCCCAGCTTATTTCCATAGCTCCTTTCACAAGACATATGTTCCCCAGATAAATGCAGCAAGCTCAGACTAATAAGTAACACATTCCAAACTGGAATAAACATTATACATTGATGGAGCTCACTTGTGGTGAAGATATAATGGTAAAACATGCATAGCACACAGTGAGGGACATACTGTGTATCAAGAAAATCAGCGATAACATTAGACCTACCTCCAAATCAGGCTCTCATTTAGTCAAAGTATAGGCAATACTGTATTTGTGAACCCAGCACTAGCAATCCTGGCCAGTCAAAGGTGTACAACATATTTAGAATAGTAGGTGAGACAGATGTATTATGGGTATTTATTAGGGCTGCGGAAATTAATGATTAATTACCTGACTAATCATTAAAATGTTTGATCGATTAAAATTATTTTGATCAGTATTGAAAATACTCACCTCTCCGCCGGCTTCCGGGAGTCCCGTCGGAGATCCAGTGACGTCACCGACATCGACGTCACCGGACTCCTCCCCCTTCCCCAAGTGGCTCCGTTGGCTAACGAAGTGAACTGCAACACAATGACCACCATAGAAAGATGTAAACCTAATCTATGGGTGCGAATTTGCTTCACAAGGGTTGTATTTTCAATACAAACATGGGGACATAACCTCAAAGCAGAGCAGATGAAAAGGTAAAACCTGAGCAGCATAATGGCTTAGTAGCTGGCACCGGGGTAGATCACCGACGGAGCCACTTGGGCCGGTGATCTGTCGACACTGAGAACTTATCGAGTTCTGCGACCGCCTGACTTCCGGTTTCGTTACAACTAAGAGGTTTGCCCAAGAAACTTGTTCTGCACGAGCGCCAGCCAAGGCATTGGCCCATACACATACAGCACAGCAATGAAGTAATACAATGAACTAGGATCACACTAATCCACTAATGTGGATTAGTCACACTATACACTAATGTGTATAGGCCAATATAGTTGGATCTGTACGTGCGTTATAATTATTCGAAATTAATCGATTTAAAAAAAGTTCGATTAATCAAACACAAAAATTTTAATCAGTACCAGCCCTAGTATTTATAGCGCCAACAATTTATGCAGAGGTTTACATATTATACATTCAGTCCCTATACATTGAGTGAAGGAGTTCATAATCTGAGATCCTTACTTTACATGCACACACACACCCTTGCCAATTTATACAGGAGATGATTAACCTGCCAGCAAGTCTTTGGAGGAAACTTAAACTCAGACAGAGCATGCAAACTCCATGCAAGTAGTGTCCTGTTTGGGATTTAAACTGAGGATCCCAGACGGGCTAGGCAGGAGTACTAACCATCTAACAACTGTGCAGATTTACACTCAATATACACAAAAGCGTACATGAAAGTAAAATTAAAAAAATTAGTACTGCATTCCTCTGTTCCTCACAGTTGATAATATAATGTACATTTTATGAATAGAAATCCAGGCCTAATACCTGATGATCTTAGCCATCCCCCCACCAAAATCCAAGGCTTCTTCTTCTTTCCTGACTAGGAATAAGCAATTCTGTCTGAGTTCGGTTCACAAACAGGTTTGTGACTCTTGCTCAAAGTTCGATAGCTTTGCTGTGAACTCATTAAAGTCTATGGTGGACGAATCCTGTTATTTAATTCTTGCCTATCTGTAGGGCTACTGTCAAACACAGTGCATGGGAAGCCAGGCTCTGCCATGGGGGACATGTACTAATGCCAATATTAAAAATAAATACATATCTCTCTCCCTACACAGAATGGTCAGCTCTCCCTAACAGGTACAACGCACAATGACTGAGCGTAGCCCTTTTAAAGAGGTCTGGGGTTATACAGATACGTTTTCAGCCACATCCTGTGGATTTGCTGCAAACCCTTGGCAGCAGCAAAACCGGAACCTCATCCCTATTTCTGACCCTGCTAACTACAGAAGCAGGTCCACTGTGGCGTAGTTTGGTTATGTCTCTTCTCCTTGTCTGGGACCTTATGATGCTCTGCAGATGCACAGTGTGCCTGTAGTCCCATAGTCATCCTTTGTCATGTATATATGACATTTATGTCATGTATAATGAAGTTCTGCTGGATGTTACTATGTAATTATAGCCTAATGGCTAACATACACTTTAAGAAGTGGTCATGGTCAGGTTTTATTTAGTTGCAGTGCTACTTTAGAGCAGCAGAGGGAGGACTATATATATCAAGTCGTAATTGTATGAAGTTTATCTGTCTGGTATCTGTCTCACTGCTTTGCTGTGGGACAGAAGTGATAAATGTTCCCCCGCTGTGTGTTTAGCATCCTTACTCCTCTCATTTACAAGATAACAAAAATTCCAACCAGAGCTGCAGACAAACTCAAACAAAAGGCAAAATAACTATTTACAGCAGTTTTAGCTGACACAGTAATTGTACACAGTAACAAATGTAATGGTGTAGCCAAAGACATGGGAACAGTTTATGGAACACTTGAGGTAGCCATTGTTGCAGCAAGTCACAAAGCTACACCAAGGCAGATTGATTTCTTAGATAAAGAATTGTACTCTTTTCAGGGAAGGCAGCACACCCCAGCACTGGGCAGCCCTTTGGTAAGAACAGAATAGCTCAGCAGTACATTCCAGGAATGCCAACAGACAGGCAATTGATACAGTACAAAGTTCTTTAATAAACAATCCCACACTATAATAAGCAAATGCTTTTGCACTAGCTGAAACTACCTGGTACCAGACCTGTAGTGTTGTGGCACTTTACAACAGTCCCTTTGGGTATCTGATCTACTCCACTGGGTAGTAGCTAGTTAGGTAGCAGGTACCTTATGTTTTCCAAACAGAACTGCAAGACCAATCTCTGCAGCCACCTCATATCCCCTTTTAAAGTGTATGGAATGTCAGGGTACATGGGTAGGGTTGCCACCTATCCAGGATTCACCCAGACAGTCCGGGTTTTGAATGCTGTGTTCAGGTTTCATGGCAGCAGAAACCCGGACACAAGATGGCAGGCAGGCAGGGGCAACAAAAATTAATATAGGGGCTACTGGCCCCCCCACTGAAAATAGTCTCAACTGTGATATTTACATATGAATAAGCCATGAATCATTCTCCCAAAAAAATGTCAGCTCGTCGCTAGAGTGTTCGGGTTTCGCTTGAAGAAAAGGTGGCAACCCTATACATGGGTAAAAACCCCAAAAAAACAAATATAATTACATATGCAGTACACATGTACGTTGGACATTTTCCCATGTTTTATCCCTTTCTAGTCCCTTTCAGTACAGCAAAATACCTGCTAACCCTAACAGAAATGCACTCGACTCCTAATCTGCTGTTGTAGGCTGACAACATAGTGCCTTCTCTACACTGAATTAGCAAGGAATGGTGTCAAACCACACCAGTTGTCTTTTGCTGAACTACGGAATACCTCCACCTCCTCTCATTTCCGCAATATACGGAGGGTTGTAGTCCCTGGTAAGAACTGGGAGCACTGATAAGTTTGCTTGAGTTAACACAGGCAGAGGACAGGAAATGATCCGCTAATCAGGACTATGGACAGAATATTTGAGCATATGGTTTACTGTCTCCCTGGAACCAACATTTGGCACGAGTTGGATAAAATAGATAGAGTGGTGGGAGAAGCTGGGCCTGACCCAGAGGTCCTGGTTTATGTTAGACTAAACAATGGGGATCCGAATTATCAACTTAATAACCTAGACCAGGGGTAGGTAACCTTGGCACTTCAGCTGTGCCGACACTACAAATCCCATCTTGCCTCTGTCTCTGAGAGTCACGCATTGCAAGACTCTGACAGCAAGGTTGTCAGAGTTTTGCAAAGCTTCATGGGACTTGTAGTTCCACCACAGCTGATGTGCCAAGGTTGCCTGCCCCTGAACTAGACTAACTTAAAGGAAGGGACCTCCTAGGTTGTATTCCCTAAAATTCGTTGTTTGTCATCCATAACACAGGAATGATAATGGGAGCTAAGAGATATCTGCATAGCTAATGCCCGTGTGTAAGAAAGAGGGATTTTCATTTCTAGAGTACCGGGGTGACTTTTCATAGGGGCACAACCTGTCTGCTGAAGAAGGTTTGCATCTGAACGGTAGGGGGTCTGCTTTACTAGGGGACATATTTATAGGATGGCTAAAAATGAAACCAGGT